GGGGTGCACATCAACGAATCAAAGTCTACCAGTAGGTAATGTAAACAACGCTGCAGCTTTGGTCAGTAAATGAAATAATGCTAGGGGTTACAAAGTAACTTGGGGTGCTAGAGGACTTTAAGAACGTAATAAAACCAGAAAATGTGCAGATTATTACTGATCGGATTCAGAAAAGAATCGATGAATTCGTCTATTCGACAATAAATACAGTGTGTCCCAGATCGCGTGGGATTGCATGGGTAACTTGGTTATTATTAAAGATAGAGAATTGGTTAAATGAGCAATGTTTTACAGTTTTGGATGCTTATTTAAAATTTCCTTATGGAAATTCAAAATGTCGCATAGGTTCGACGTAAATTCAAAAAAACTAAAATGGGTCATTTCCTTAAATGTCTTATATCATCGAAAGTATAAGAGATATAAAAAAAACTTTTATATAAAAGTGACTGTCTTTGATACGCTTAATTTAGAATTGATGTCAAAAATTCAAGATGGCTACCTTTGAGGAACATTGACCAACTTCCTAAAGTTAAATGGGCGCCATATTGGATTTTTAGATTACTTGATAGATTTTTTAATTCTCTTTTCAACGAGCCATCATAACATAAGAAAGAAAATAAGATACCAGTTATATTAACGGTTTTTGTATTTTAATCAAGTAGTTTGTGACGAATAAAAAACATAAAACAAAATCTATTCGAGGCAACAAAACAATGAAAACAATTACACCAGATGTTTAAAATACTGGCCATTATTAGTGAAACACACTTCAAGACAGTTTAGTTTAGGCAACGTGTTGCCATTGATGATTATTATTATTATTGTAGTGGTAGCTACTTCCACTTTACTTTTATTTTTTAATTACCTAAGTACTTACTTTTATAATTTAATGTACTGTACATAATTCGTGAATTGTGACCTGAGCAGCCAGCTTGTTGGTAGGTAGCATAAACCAACCCTTTCTTCGAAACATACGTTGTCGAGAAAAATCCTTTAAGGAAGTTTATTGGAGAATTTGTAAATCATGGTGAGCAGTTAAAGATCCAACAAAGATTACAAGTCCAATTACATGACTTCCCATTATGCCATAAAATACATTACATAATTTAAAAAATATTACTTGATTTCGGCGTGAAACTACAACATGTAGGTTTTCCTGTGACGAGTATAGTGGTTCATTATCGATTTAAACACTCCGCAGTTAGAAAAATAAGATTCATCTGTCCATTACTCGGACTGGTAAAACTGTTAGTTTCGATATTCTTGCGGATAAACCGACCTACAAAATGTGACCTGAGACAATGCATCAATGGTAATAATTTGTGCAAAATAAAGCGAAGTGTCTTGAAATGTTTTTAACTGGATAATGGCATGACATTTTTTCGAGGGGATAGTTTGTAGTTATACCACCAGTTGTAGGTATGTAAGTATGGAAAATATGATAGTCAATAAGTGATATAAAAATCAAAATTTTTCTAGGCCTACTTATATAAAATTTTGGAGGGAGTTGTAATGCCCAAACTCCCC